CACCCCCGCTGCCAGGTCCTTCCCCCCACCTGCTCTCACCCGCTCTCACCCCCGCTGCCAGGTCCTCCCCCCACCACCCGCTCTCACCCCCGCTGCCAGGTCCTTCCCCCGACCCGCTCTCACCACTGCGTTCCGCTCCACTCTGGCTCGTATCTGGTCAACTTTGCCTTCTATCACTCGGGGGAATATAGAAGAATCTGCTCCTTTGCAAAACAGATAAATGTCTCCTACAAAATGAGAAAAACAGTTTAATCCCAATATGAGGAAGACTAGATTGTTTTTTAAATTATGCTATTAATAAAAAACACAAAAAAAGGGACAGCAGTGCAAAAAACTTTTTAAAGATTTTAATGGACTAGTTAGCATGTTCCAGTCAGGAAAAAATGAAAACTACAGATTACCTCCAAAGCCTCATTTTATTCCTACAACCCTAGAAATCTCGCAGGAAAGTCAGGAACCAGGAAAAGAACTTGGCTCTGGGACTCTGCTTTTTCCCTGGGAAAGGCACGAAAGGATAAAACACTCTCGGGATGGGGGTTGGGTGACCCAAGGGGGTCACTGTTTCTGAAATGCTGGAAGGTGAACACAAATCCCCTTCAGAAAGCCGTGTGTCCTCACGCGGAACAAGGCAGCCGGGCCACCCCTGGTACTTGAAGAGTCACGGGAAACGCTGTTTGCCTCATTTTTTCCCATGTCTCCAGTAAGGTCGCCGTTGCTGTGGACGTACTGGACACACTTGTGCTGTGAATGCAGCGTCTCCAGGCCTCAGATAAAGCGAGTTTCTGTTCCAGGCACCCAGGAACACAGTAAAGGCCATGACAGTTCTGCAGCGATTCAACCTGCCCCCCGCCCCTCACAGAGCCCCCAACACACACACAGAGCCCTCTACCCACCCCCCCCCATACACACAGAGCCCCTGACACACACACAGAGCCCCTGACACATACACAGAACCCTCTACCTGCCCCCCCGACACAGAACCCTCTACACCCCCCCGAATCTCTGACATACACACACACAGAGCCCTCTACACACACACACACACACACACACACACACACACACACACAGAGCCCCTGACATACACACAGAGCCCCCGACACACACACAGAGCCCTATACCAACCCACCCACACCCAGCCACACACACACACACACACACACACACACAGCCCCTGACACAGAGCCCCCGACACATACACAGAACCCTCTACCTCCCCCCCAACACAGAACCCTCTACACCCCCACACACAGAGTCTCTGACATACACACACAAAGAGCCCTCTACACACACACACACACACACACACACACACACAGAGCCCCTGACATACACACAGAGCCCCCGACACACACACAGAGCCCTATACCAACCCACCCACACCCAGCCACACACACACACACACACACACACAGCCCCTGACATACACACAGAGCCCCCGACACATACACAGAACCCTCTACCTCCCCCCCAAACACAGAACCCTCTACACCCCCACACACAGAGTCTCTGACATACACACATACACAGAGCCCTCCACACACACACACACACACACACACACACACACACACACAGCTGCTGACATACACACAGAGCCCCCGACACACACATAGAACCCTCTACCCACACCCACCCCCCCCACACACACATAATCCTGTACCCACACACACACAGAGCCCCCGACACACACACAGAGCCCCTGAAACACATGCACACACACACACACACAGAGCCCCCAACACACGCATA